ACTGTAAGTTTCCACCACCAGAGCTGATTTAATGAAGCCGCTGCGGTTAACAGAAAAAAATTGGCCTTTCGGTGATGGCCACTTGGTGCTACCTATTACTGGAGATCATGAAACCCATTGTGCACATTTTATTGCAGTCTAGTAAACGATGGTGTCGAAATAATGCATGCAAACGTTGATGAAGTCACAAGATCTTGCCAATGTATCCATCGTATTTTTTATTCGTTTGGATTGTATTTGTCTCAAAAGTTTCACAACAGTCAAGCAGATCATCCGAGAAGGAAGGGTCGGTATGCTGACTTAATTTGCCACCTTGAAGCGGATACAAGAATGGCGAATGGACCTCATCTCTAGTTTCAATTTAGGAAAATTTAGGACGTGTCTTGGTTTGAAATTTTGACAAAGTCTGGCTCCTGGCACAGGCGATCACCGGCACGAATGGTTCACAAACCACTTTCGGTCAAAATTCTACAGGATCGGTGCCGGGGCAGATCGCAAGGGTTGGGCACTGCCCAACTTTGCCGGCGGTCCCTTGCCCGTCCCTCCAGAAACTTGCGGAGACATTTCGGAAATATCGCGGAGAAAGTTGCGAGGTAAAATACCACGAATTGCGGGATTATTGTGGTAAAATTGCGGAAATTGCGGGATTATTGTGGTAAAATACCACAAATTGCGGGATTATTGTGGTAAAATACCACAAATTGCGGGATTATTGTGGTAAAATACCACAAATTGCGGGATTATTGTGGTAAAATTGCGGAAAGGCCGATTTTGGAACTTGTACTGTAGTGCGGTACGATGCACGAGTCGTACAGTATAAATCATGCACGAGTCGTACAGTATAAATCATGCACGAGTCGTACAGTATAAATCATGCACGAGTCGTACAGTATAAATCATGCACGAGTCGTACAGTATAAATCATGCATGACAAAACAGAACGTGTGCTGCGCTGTACCTGGTTGCGACTGTGTTCAACTGCCCGACAGGAGCTTGCAAGACCGCTTTCCTCCATCCTCGGACAACACTCGACGCGAGCCTTATTTTGTGACTTGTCAGCCGCTGATTAGCCCAGAAACTTGTCCATTCTGGTGTCGATCTCACAAGTAAACTACTGACGAGCTTGAAGAAATAAACAACATTGAAAAATGACTCGAATACCGCGGTTGCTTTTCGAAATATCATGGATATCGCGGACTTTTGTTCAAATCGCGGAAAACAAAGCGGCCGCGGAATCGCAAGTTCCTGGAGGGACAGCCATGCGATTATTTACCATAGGATTTTTGTTGCGACTGCACTGGTTCATAAAATCGCAATGCGCCGGGAGTGGTTGCAAGAGGCCCACCGCCGGTGTCTCCTGGCGCGTACCGGCGATATGTGTACCAACCGTTAACACATACCGGGACATTCATTTATTTTCTGGTCTGCAAACTCTTGTCCCTCTGGGCTCCGTGCACACGCCGTTTATAGGAATACAGGGCCAACCCATACATATAGCCATAGCTAAAAGAGGAGTTATGCAATACTGGTGTTGCACCCATCCTTGGTTGCATTAAAATTGCACGCTTAACAGCAACGATTTTTTCACGAACTGGCAGGAGGCTGGGTCACGGTAGCCTCATACACATGCACAAGACACTCAATGACAATTATATTAATGTATCAGTCTGCTAAATTTGAAATATGCGGCCACATTCTTTTCTGGTTGCAAATAGGGAAGAAGAAAACCCGACTGGAGTGATCCCCTGGCAGTAGGTTGTCGTGCAGGGAAGTTCAGTCGCTGACAAATCTCTCTTTTTCCTCTTTTATATTATTATATAATTGAGAATTTTCCAAAGACATAGTCTAAATTGAAGGGAGTTCCATTATAATGGGAGGCTGTAGCGTTGAGATAGCAGACAGTGGATGGCTAATGAACAGCCTAGCTAGAAAAATACATACTTTTATGCTTAATGTTCCAGAATGGTCCTTTACTCAATAATATCTACACTGTACTAGTATAACTTCGGGGTATGCCTTGAAATACGAAATCTTCCCACTGTGAACTACACCTTGTCGAAATTCAGATGCAATTGGTCCCCGAGTGCACGTTTTCTCCCAACTAACGTGTTATTTCCCAGCAGCATACACGCCCAGACTGACTGAATTTAGAAACAATATTATTTCTAGCACAAATCGAGACTTGTGACCTCTATGATTGGGGACTAATTTTTCTCCATACATGTACATGTACATGAAGGGTACCACATGATAAATGACTGACAGACTTCCCAGATCCACCATGAAGTTGCAGCACAAGCGAAATCTTCTGTTTTTCTGTTCTCTTTCGGTTGTACCCGATCTCCTTCTGATGTACCGCTGACTCTACGCTGAAGATCTAAGTATTTTAATTCTCATTCTCATTATAATTTTCATATTCGCTTTCAAGTTATTGGGTTACATGCCTGTTTGAATTTGCGAATCAAAATAAATACAAACAAACAAACAGTTGGTAGACCTACTGCTCATGCATACCGGTACTAACAGGACTTCAACGAAATCGCTTCGCTTCTTTGGTCTTGCGTCATGGTCTCATCCACATCCTGAACGGCAATCTGCAATGGACATAGAGTCGATCGGGTTGAGCGAGTTGCACTACCAGCACGGACATGCCGAGAAGCGGATTCCCATCCTAGCACGGCAACTATTACTTACTTCCCCATGCCTCACACCCAAGACACAGCACTGCCATACCCGCCGAAATGAAATAAATAAATAAAAAATTATAACCAACGGTTCACACCAGGGAGTCGTCAAATATATAATAGAGAGGTTTAGCACAACGAAATTCGTTGTTCATTTACGTTATGCCGCTGTACGAAAAGCCGACCGAAATTCGCTGAATTTTTGTTTAGCAGAACGTTCACCACGAACTTCGGTGTGGCGAGTAGTGGATAAAGTGGATGTCCCGGAAATCCCCACGAATACAAAAAAATAGTAATCCTCGTCACTTCCCGACTTTCGTAAACTGGTGGCCTCACCACACGAATGCTTCTTGAGCAGGAGATGAAGCCGATCCACAAGCCCTTTCTTTTTCAGCCCAGCAAATCTCTCATCACTCTGGGAAAGCAGCAGAGCTGCTTCTTCATTCGTGCGTGATTTCCGCAAGAAACAATTCGGCATCGACCTCACAAGGCGGACCATCATGAGATCCATCTGCGTATCCCACGGAAGTCGTCGTCCCTCCTGATCACCAGAGGTAACAGCAGCTGCAGAAACTGCAGGATTTGAGTTCGGCTCAGACATTCTGGTCGTGAAAACAAGAACCTCAGAAAAATGTTGAAAGGAAAGGAAAATTCTCATGTGATCGCGGTACGAAAAGTCGACAGACCAAACTTCGTTGGATTGATGTTTTCCGCGAGTGCGTGTCCCGAAGTTCGTGGCAAGTTTCGTTACTCGTTCCCGGGCTTCAAAATCTAACGAAAATTCAGACGAATTTCGTTATGCTAAACCTCTCTAATATTATGTATTTGACGACTCCCTGGTTCACACAGCTCAGTACGAAGTGATTTGGCTTTTTTTAACATTTGGCATTTTTTAACAAAATAATGTGTAAAATTTGCTTTTCTTCTGGCTGTTTCTCTGCTCCGGATGGCTGTATCGAAACATGGGTGGTGGCAAATGAGAGCCAGTTTATTGTAGATCAACATTGACCAGAACATTTGGTGCATATAGTTTAATTCTCCCTGCCACAGCGGTATACCTAGTGGTGGGTGCTTTGCTGTTTTGTGTATAATATGTAAAATAAGCCCCTGAATTCGAATGGACGAGGAGGGCAGTGAATTGCTTCCGCAGGGCCTTTGGACGACGTCAGGCCGTCTTGCCATCACTAAAGACAACAATGAAGAACAGTAGGTCACGGAATACACTCTGTGAAGCCGAAAACATGGCTGCGATGCTATGCTACCTATCCAATTATACCGTATGACACAGCCACTAGTTACAAATACAAAAACACGGCTTTGCGGCAGCATACAATGCAAATGCAGTTGACAGATTAATTTTCATCCACTAGCATTCCTTGAAGTGATATCTATCAACTTCAGAACATTGATGATCAAATATCCCAGTTTGTGATGCCATTTTATGATTTTACAAATTAATATTTGTAAAAAATGACACACTAAATATTTGAACCCTGAGAATACTATGAAAGTAGGACATGATTCAAGACACTTTCCAAAGTGGGATCATTCCCATTTTTTGAGACAACAGGCATGAAGGATAGCACTTCCACTTGCAACAACTTATTTGGACGTAGCTTGCCTAGAAGTGGCTGAAAAACGTCATTTTACAACCATGTTTAAAAAAAGTCAAATCACCTCGTACAGGCTAGCTGGAACACTCGCGGCAATGCGCAACCAACAGTTCGCACACCAGCTGGTTGGGACACTCGCATCTGCTGCAGTTCATCATACTTCCTCGAAGCCATGATCTGGGCTGATGTTGCTAAGGTAGGTGGGACCAGCCAAATACAACAACTGTCTCAACGCACGGGCGTTCCTCGGCAACAATTTCCCGGCTCTTGTTTTCGGGTCCTCATCATGTTTCTTGTTTTCGCTCAGTTTGACCTTTTCCCTATGGAAGCTTTTCAGTCGGCCACATGTCTTCTTTGGTATGCTCGAGGTCACCAGTGGGTACGAAAGTTCAAAGTTCAGGCCCTATGACATTCTCATTGCTCTACGCGTATACGACAGAGTTGCTTTCAGAAAGCTTGAATCTGACCAGATGTACAACCTGGCCTGATTGCCCCTACGGTGATTTTGGGGTACACGGCCATTTTCAGCCAAAACGAGGCGTATCGGAGGTGAAATCTCCGCAGTGGCGAGTAGTTTCTGGATTTTGGGCAAATTTCATATGGAAAACAGATATTTTTTGTGCAAGCGTGACGTGACGGCAGTTTTCAACTGCTCATGCGCCGAGCACTGAGGAGTGCGGTGGGGTTGGTCGGTTGTCTTGGCTGTCGTGGAGAGGATCAAAAGGTCCCCGTACTGCATGCAAACTCCCTTGGCCTTCTTCTCGTCCTGGCGAGGAAAAGGCTGTGCATGTATCGTCCCCTCCCCAATTATTCAAGTATTCATGTAGGAGAACCAGCCTGTTTCGATGTATAGTTCTATTTTCTAAACCAAACTCTATGCTGATGCGGAAGAGGGACGTCACGCAATCTGCAAACACAACAGCTCAAAGGTGAGACGAAACTGCAGTTGGAGCATTCTCGTCCCGGTGTGCTCGCTTCTAGCTTGCTTTGTTTTCCGGGGAATAAGGATACTGAAAAGCCTGTGCGAGATAGGGTGCCGTTCATTTGCAAAGCTGTAGAGAAACACAGATTATGGACGGCGTGCTATCTTCTCGCCCACTTCTGTACGTGCTCGATTTGACCTCTCTGCACTGCCTCTGTCAGCATTTCCTCATTCCGGCTGACGTCTCAAGTTTCCCTTTCAGCCGGCAACCATGTGCTTCGTGAACGATCCTGATTTCCCTTCCCACGGCACCGAGGCATTGCCTTTTTTGGACACTCTCCTGGTTCATGCAGTCACCACACGTACACCATGTGCAAGGGCAAGGTTTGCACCCGTACGACGATCGATTAATTTTGTATTTGACAGTATGGTGTTGGCCATCGAACTGTGCCCTACAAACCTGAACACACCAACTAGGAATGGGGCTATGATCAAAGCATTTATTCAGAAACTTTTCTCGTGCTCTTCCGGCACGATCCTCATGTGTCGCTCGTTTTTTATGTGAACAGTCTGATTGAAATGAGGCACGGACAAATAATAGGATTTGAGCACCAGCACTTGTATCCAATTGTTTTCTAGAGAACTGGGAGTTGTAGTTCATTTTTGATAGGGCTCATGCCTGCTCTCTGAAATGAATTCCTGAAGACCGGAGTAAGTAGGCCGGTTTTGAAATGCCCTCAGGCCGTCGCCGACCAGCCCTTCTTCTCGCACGCGCACGCTGATGTGTGCGTGTGTGTCAGTGTGCTTGCATGTCTGTTTGTTTATGTGCGTGTGCACGCACACACACCCATGCAAGTGCAGGCGCAAATTTGCACGTGCGTCCGTATGTGTTTGTGTGTGTGTGTGTGTGTGTGCGCGTGCACACACATTTTGACTTATGGTGGGTCTAATCCACTCACCTACCACCGCTTTAGGAGCTGCATCTGCGCCTTGAGGGTGGTAGCGTTCCTATGGATGCGGGAAAATATTTTTGCGAACCGTCAATTTTTTTGGGCCCTACTGTGATTCTGAGCCATCATTCCAGACTCTCTGTACACTTTCATGAATTTGAATTTTGTTTCTTGCTTTGCTGCTGCTGTTGTTGCGTGCTTTGCTGCTGCTGCTGTTGTTGCGGTCGTGTTGTGCTGTTGCTGCTGCCGTTGTGTGCGTGCTTTTCTGCTGCTATTGTTGTGCATGCTTTGTTGCTGCTGTTGTTATCGTGTGCATGCTTTGTTGCTGCTGTGCTGTGCGGGAGGGTGGGGTTTCGTCGTTATTTCAAATCTTCATTCTCACGATAACCAGTGGCCAATAAGAGTGTGTTGTTGTTGTTGTCGTGTCTCGATTCTTCTTGTTCTGTGCACAGTATTACCCACAGTATTTTCCCAACATCATGTCACCGGCCGCCTCTACACCGCCCAGCAGCACCACACAGATGTCGCTGTGCCGACGCAGCGCCCGCGAGATCCTCCTCGAGCAGCTGTGCAAGCCGAGCATGCGCAGCCTTGGCAACCAGTACCCGCTGCGGTGCGCACACTGCGGCATGACGTTCATCCACCAGATACACCTGACGGCGCACATGCGCCTGCACCAGGCGGTGCCGTACAGCAGCGTCAAGTGCCGCGAGTGCGACACGACCTGTGCCGACGACCTCAGCCTGCAGGACCACCTGGACAAGGCGCATTCGTCGGGGCGCGGCGCATTCGCCGTCAAGTTCAGCATCTCGGAGCGCATCGCCTACGGCCACCCCGACTCGCCGGTCAGCACGGACGGCAGTCCCCGCCACGGCGCTATCTCCACCGGCTGCCTGATCCCGGTCAGTCAGGAGCCGCTGCCCGAGGATTTTGCGTACCAGTCCGTCTTCACGCAGCGCAAGCACAAGCGGCTCACGTTCGACGCTCGCCCGTCGCCTGGCCAGTCGTCTCAGCCAGCGGCCAAGCGTCCCCGCTCCATACATGACTCCCCTCTCAAGCGGCTCACGTTCGACGCTCGCCCGTCGCCTGGCCAGTCGTCAGCTCAGCCAGCGGCCAAGCGGCCCCGCTCCATACACGACTCCCCTCTCAAGCAGCAGCTGTGTCGCGGCCGCACCATCAGCACTTGCAGCAGCAGCAGCAGCAGTTGCGGCAACAGTAGCAGCAATTGCGATGACCAGTTCGAGAAGCATGTGGCGGTAACGCGCCCGACCATTCTGGAGCAGCTACTGACCAGCGCGGACCCGACTAGTCCAGCCCTACCCAGCATGCCGCAGATCATCGTGAATCAATCGGAAAAATCGGAGCGCAACTGCCAGCCTGCACAAGAGCAACATCAGGCCAATCACCAACAACACCACCACCACCAACGGTCCTTTGTTGCACAGCAGCAGCAGCAAAAGCGTATCCTGCGCCACCGACCTCAGAAGCCGTCCTCGCTGCGCTTGAGCCAGCGTTCTCATCACGACTCCACGTCCATGGCGGCCGGACGAACATCTTCGCGCCGCCACGGGAGGCAGGCGGCAGAGGTGCCGGAGACCTCATCCGCATCCGAGTGCTCCTCTCCAGTGTACGACGACGACGAGGACAGCGCAGCGGAGCAGAGCAGCAGCGATTGTGGCGAGGAAACGGCAGCGGACAGCACGGGCATGGCAAAGGACGTGGCGTGCGAGCACTGCAACAAGCGTTTCCTCTACAAGTGCAACCTGGCGCGACACCTCAGCGCCATACACAACGAGCGCACGCTTAAGACAGAGACGCCGTCCCTGGGAAAGTCGCCGCGCTCGCCGTTCAAGGTCGGCCGCATGGAGGCGATTCCGACGGAGAAGAAGGAGGCCGTGCTGCTGAAGTGCGACTTCTGCGCGCGCACTTTTACGCAGAGGTCATCGCTGGTTTTGCACCAACAGGTGCACCAGGGTCCAGAGCCGTACCGCTGCTCCATCTGCCACGGCGTGCGCTTCAGCACGCGCAAGCAGATGGAGAACCACATGGCCCGCCATCGCACCCGTGCCAAGCAGCGCAGTATCAAGCAGAAGAAAGCATTACAGCGGCGCAGTATCGGCAGCAGCAGCTGGACCAATGACACTACAACAAGCTCGTCTGCCTCCACCCCGCTGGACAGCGCCTTCAACTCGCCCAGAAAGGGCGTGCAAAGCGCATTCTGCCAAGCGTCAAAAGTTGTGCCAATGCAGCGCGCCCTGCTACGCAAGCTGAGGGGTGTTGACGCAGCCTCATCTAGTGACGATAGCGACGAGGATAAGTTGATCATCGTGGACTCGAACAACGAGGACTAGTTAGTATTTTCTCTAACTCCGTTTTCTCTCTCTCTCTCTCACACACTTGTAGACACTCTCACGCTCACCTCTCTTTGTCACTCATTCATTCGCTTAATCGATCACTCACTAAGTCACTCACTCCTTCTCTCGCTCTCTATGTCACTCACTCGCAAACTTACTCTTTCTCTCCCCTCTTCTCTCTCTCTCTCTCTCTCTCTCTCTCTCTCTTCTCAAGTGATTGTCGACACACGCTGGTGGCAAGTGTCCTCCACTCCGGTGTTAGTGCGTCTACTCTAGTCACCAGAGTCAACGAAGAACAGAGCAGCCAGATACTTGGTGCTCCTTGTTCCACCCTCCTGTTAGGTAACGTTACTTTCTGCTCCTTTCCTCAACATGATTATTCTCAACCGTCTAGTTGCTAGGAGCTCTCTTACCCACAAGTCAGACAGTGTCAACCTTGCTTGGTCAACAGTGACTCAGCACCCACCCACCCACGCCAACACAGACAAGAACAGACCAGAGCGCTGGCCGCCTCTTGTTATAGCAGCTTCTTGCATTGCACTTTAGGCTCTTGGACCCTCTCGTAACTTACATTGTCCAGCTCAAGTCTGTCCACGTCTCTGTCCCTCTCTCTTTCTCTCTTTCTCTCTCTCTCTCTCTCTCTCTCTCTCTCTCTCTCTCTCTCTCTCTCTCTCTCTCTCTCTCTCTCTCTCTCTCTCTCTCTCTCTCTCTCTCTCTGTCCCTCTCAATAGCCCGATCACTATAGTTTGTGTTTCTTGACCGGCTTAGATTTGTGACTGCTCCTGTCCCTGTTATTTATTTTTCCTTATTCTGAAACGGAAACATTTTCGTTGGGCACCGTCATAGCCGGGTTCATTTTACTTTCTCATTGCACCCCTTCCCCAAGGCTCTCTCTCTCTCTCTTCTGCCCGATTCTAATTAAGACAGAGCAAATACCAGTATGGCGCTACTTTCACTAGTTTCTTACATAGCAGAGATGTTTGATCGAAGCATAGCGTGTTGCCGCGACACTAGGCCATACGACATTCTTCTTGTAACACTTTCTAAGAAAACGCACCAGTAAACTTGGATTCCCGATTTATTTTCCCCGTCATATTATACTTTATATTTCTCCACCGGCAAAGATTTCTGTTATCGGTCTGTTATGTATAGTACGGACGCTCTTGATGCCGCGTTTCTTGCGGGGATTGTGTATTTTATCGACAGGCATGCTCATTAGGTTCTTCATGTTTATTTGATTCAGAGAGCGCCGATCATCAGTAGTTTTAATTTATATTTTCAAAGTTGAATTTATTTTTCGCTTTACCACTGCCTGCATTGTAGCATCACTTTAGAATCAATTCTGAAATCAAACCGAAACGTTGAACTTATTTCGCAACGTGTCGTGGTATATGGCCTGTCTGGTGTTCAGTGTTGCACGGAGTGTTGTGTGTCTGTGTGTGTCTGTGTGTGTGTGTGTGTGTGTGCGCGCACACATGAGTGCATGTGCATGTGTGTGTCTATCTGTGTGCTGGGGTGTACGTGTGTCCCGACCTCGTGCTACTGGTGCGTTCGGGTCACGTCATTCGCGATTTAGATTGATCAGTTTACATTTGGGGGGGGGGGCAATGCGCCTGTTCTAATTTCTCACTTTTACGACGGGCCAGCACCAGTAGTAAGGGCGATTCAGACTACGCCCAGAACGTGGCGTACGTGACGTTTTCGTCCGGTTAGCCATGACAACATGGAACGTGGCGGGAAAATCGTACCCTGATACGAAAACGTAGACGAGGTATCCAGACCCCTGCACCAAGTTTCGTTCTGTCGTTCCCAGCAGTTCGTGTCCAAAAGAAGCTGTACACACAGCTGTACGAGCAGCGTGTGCGTGCCTGTGTGAATGCACTTGCATGAAAACGACGCCTGCCAGTACGTCGTATTCCAAAACGTGACGCATATTGTAACGTAGTATGAATAGCCTATAAGGGGCGATTCAGACTACGGCCAACTGTGACCACGTTTCTACGACTCAGATGTATTTGACCAGGGACTGACTCGACTGTGCATAGCATTTTGAAACATGACTGCATCACCATGGAAATTCAAGTTTGCACGTGATTTTGGCCGTAGTCCGAATCGCCTATAAAGGTTTTTCAGAGCCGTTTGCGCGCTAGCGTTATCCATGAGCATGAGCATGCACAGGTACAAAAAGAGAGTACACAATGGTCAATAGTAAAGGTGTACCATTACTACAATACAAAGTCGCACCTAGTACCTGCTCATGAGTTTGTACGACTAAGTTGTATGTGTGCATGTCGAAAGGGCCTAGGGCCTAGCTAGGGGGTGATGTATTAGGAGTACCGGTACATGTAGTACACAATAGCCAGAGTTCCCAGATTAGGCAAAGCCCGATTTTGCCAGGGAAACTTCGATATTTTGCCGCAAATTTTTGCTCGCTCATCGTCGATATTTTGCTTTCATTTTGCCAGGTCACTCGATATTTTGCTCCCTTTTTGCTCGAATGCAAGGCTAAATTATTTGGGTCACGTGTAGGAAAACTGACCGAAAGTGGGTCACGTGTTGGCAAAATGTACGAAAATGAGTCACATGCACCGTATAAGTGTAACATTTCCCATTTTCCAGCGAACATACTGATATTTTGCTCCGTTTTGCCAGCAAATTCTCTTGTCAAAATTCTTCGATATTTTGCCAGCAGAATTGCTAGCAAAATCGGGCTATGTCTATCCCAGATTGCCTAGAGTGCTCAACACCACAAGGATGGAGCATTACCACAAAAGGCAGAAGAGAACAGAGACAGCCTAGCCGGCACACACACACACACACATACACACACACACACACAAACACACAAACAAAATAGGCAGCGGGACTACCAGCTAGATTCACGTAACCTAGCGGACAAAGTTACGGAGGTAGAACTTGTTTTCATGACGACACTTGGACACAAGCTCTGATCTCTTGTTCAGGGAGCGGGTCTTGTCGGCCCAGGCGATCTCTAGCTTCTCGGCCAGACACAGGTTGCAGCGCTTCAAGATGTTAGAGTATGGTGCGGCTCTCCTCACAACGGACCACCTGTCCTGATACTGTAAGGTTTGTTTTCATCCTTCAGTCTCCAGATGTGTCTGGACAGTCTCGTTGAGGTCTCATGCTTCCGGTGGCGAATGGTATGTTGATGAGTCAATGATGACCATTGAATCGTGTCTTGAATCATCACGGTCCCTTCCGTTAATCCAGTGTACTCCTTCATGTCGCTGCCGGTTACATGTGCCCTGTACACAATGCTCGATGCTAGACACTTAAAGTCTTTCCTTCCAAGGGGCAATCATTCATATTATTATTATTTAAATATCAGGATTTTTTGCAGGAAAGGGTTTGCTCCCACACTGGAGCTCGCCGGCTATTCCGCCGACTTGACTTGACACTTGACTGACTCACGACTGCCATCCAGAGCACACGAGAAGTCCATCGAACCTTCGACTCGGCAAACCTGCAAGAAAGCACCACTCCCTGCTCAATACACAGTGTTTCGGGGAATTCACCCCTCATCGGTTGAGCTTCAGTAGGCTGAGGAAGATTTTGCCTGAAGAGCACCACTTATACTAGTGCTCTCCAGGCACAAACATCACCAGGGATACAAACTTACAGAGACGCTCCGTTTCCAGCGCGACAAACACCTCGTGAACACCAGATAGCAGCGTGAGTCAGTGTCGCTCCTGGACGGTGAGAACAGACGTAGAGGACCCTCGGTCATTCACAACGCTGTCACCTCCAAATCAGCTTGTCGCAAGCCCGCGCTGGGCACAACATGTTCACGAGGTGTTTGTCGACTATGATTGAATCGCGGCACTTTCTCCCACTTTTCGGAAGTTTTCCCTCAGATATCGCGCTCAGTGCGCGCCCTGAGTTATAAACCAACTAGTACTAGTACTCCGCGTACTTATGGCAGTGTGCACTCCGTGGGGAACATGAACAGACTCTTGCAGGATCGTGGGAAATCGTAGCGCTAGCTCGAAAAGAAGAAGAAGAACGAACTACTTTTCCAAGTAACTTTTTGAATTCTAATCTATGTTATTAATAATATTATTAAATTTTTTCAATTATTTTGTCTTGAAAGTTTCAACCTTGACCTTGTTACTTTCAAGCGGCTTCTGATCTAGTGCGCGTACTGCGTAAAAAGTTTGCGAATAATCATGAAGTGGAAGAAGGTTGATAGAGTGCTCGTACTTGTTCATTGGTTTCTACAGAGCGTTCCGAATCCCGGGGGCCATACCAGCCCCTATTGACGCACAGAAGGAAAGAAGCTTGCGTTACAAAGCTGCTGTCCCGCCTGACTGCGGAGAAAGAAGACTCGTTTATGGTTGTTCTACAGCCGCTGCTGACGTCCATCAGCTCTGTCCCGCTCCCAGCAGCAGATAGGCCTGGATTTCAACGAGTCGTCGGTGTCCCAACTCCGGTGTGAACGGTTTCCCGACGTCAAGACGAAGTGGGGTCAAGTCATGGGTGTTGCAAGGAAGCTGTCACAAGATGATCCAGTATTAAGCGGTAGGTTTTGTAAAGCTGCTCTAACATTTGGATGCTATAAATTATTTATAACATTAAATTTGTAATCACGAAGCCGTGCCCAAGACGTGCGACATAGCGTGTGTTCGTGTGTGCGTGTGTATGTTGTGTGCGTGTGTGTGCGCGCATGCGCGCTTCTGTATGTCGTAAAATCCCGCCAGAGCGCCCCTACCTCTGCAACCATTCGAGTACTTTGAATTAGATCCATTTGGGAAGGGGCGGATGGGCGAGTCCTGCTTGTCGCATTCAGTACTACATGAAAAGTACTCACCCTACGAAAACTGTGGGTGCGTCTCGTACACCCACCAAAAGTCAAGAGCTGGGAGTCGTACAAACCCATCAAAACCCCAGGGTATGTGTGATCTCTGGTCAAGAGGGTGGGAACTGTTGCGTACATTTCCAACCAGGTTGAGGACGCGTCTGCAGTACAGTACGGCCTCACACTTCACAGTCATACGAGGATACGGCCATTATCACTTCCTTGACAAGAAGTCTGGGAGAGGCCCATGGGAGAGACGGGGCGAACTGGCGGGATTTTACGGTAATAGAGAAGTTCCGCATAACGTTAGTAAAACACGTAGTCGATATATGGAAAGTGTAATGTAAAATGCACGCGCATCTGTGTTCCGCCATACGGAGATTTCAAATCAAGTAGCTGCCCTTGGCAACTCCGAACGCGGTAGGCCTTGACGGATTATGCTAGCATAATTTTTCGCATAATTCCTACCAAAATCGAATAATCGCATAATTCGAGGCAGTTCGCGCAAATTGCATACGAATCGCATAAAATTGTAATTATCCGCCTGTTTGCATCAAATTCCATACAGTTGTACATGTTCTACAAGTACAAGTACAAGTAGATGCACCAGGAAGTCGTAGGTTTACGACTCCCTTGATAACATGTCCAGTCCACTACAATCAGTGATGGTCATAGCTAGGTTGGACGGTGCGTTTACCCCGTTGAACTTTTGCTACTACAGTACAACGCCCTCTACAAAAAAATTCCCTTGTTATTTTCCACAGACCCATTATGCATTAGCAGCATATGTGAGCATAATGCGGCATAATATGATAACTTTTAGCATAAAAATAGCATAATTCTGCAATTTTTTCAGCAATGCGAAAAGCATAATTTCACGAAAATATTAGCATAATCCGTCAAGGCTTAGAACGCGGCAGTGTACGACCAGATCGACCTCGGGAGAGAGTCATAAATTTGCACCCCAATCCACTTACGGACGAGCTATCAGAGCCCTATCTACGTACTCTACGTGGACAACTTCTCGTAAGTGGAGTGTAAACCTCATAATTCACGGGTTTTTCCCACCCACTAACGTAAAGTTAGACTCCCAGTCCACATCAGCTGGTTCTTGAGATGGCTTCGAAAATATACCATGGCACGCACTTTCCACTGTTGTTACATAGGGCCGGAAGTGTGTTGTCCCGCGCTTTTACGTTTACTTTATACCAGGCGTGGGCCATCCCCTGTACATAGGTGCCACCATTTTTCTTTGTTTCAATAAAAAAGTTTAACGTAAAAAAAATAAAAAATAAACTACGTAAAGTTGCTCAACTTTACGTAGTGCAGAACCTCTCTATTGATAGATAAGATAACGTGTTTGTAGATCTCTGCCATGCCGAAGTTGCATTCAGTAGAGGTAGTTGTCTCTGTCAAACGTGTTTGCCATTGGCTCACGGCACTTGTAGTAGCTGAGCGGACGATGCAAATGGACTCCCAGTCCACATCAGCTGGTTCTTGAGATGCCTTAGAAAATATACCATGGCACACACTTTCCACTGT